TACCATCGCCTCCAAGGAGTCGAACACCGAAGGCTACCACAGCTCCCCAACAACACACAAACCCATCAAGCGGGACATCACTCACCTGGTCAATTCATCTGAAGAACCAGACGTTCGCAGCTACGGGGATCTCCCAAAGACATACAAACCCATCAAACCCGCCAACACTTATCCTCTCATTCCGTCTGCAGAGTTCAATACTCGAAGCTATCGCGAACCCCCGAAGACATACAAGCCCATCCAAGTCGACTATTCTCATCCTAACTTCGCCTCCGGAGACTTCGTCAATCGAAGCTACATGGGTTCTCCACTCCAACAGCTCGAAGATCGTGCGCTTAGCATGCAGGCCATGTTGCCAAGCACCAATGGGCGCGCTGGTAGCGGCCATGCCGCAGTCGCAGAATCGGCATTGATCGCAGTCACACCCGCAACTCCAAAGCGTGTCAGGTTCGTGACGCCTGAAGACACCAGCCACCCACAAGAAGCAACTGTGTCGAACGAAGCCGAGACGGCTGGAACTTCCGCTCACCGGGACGAACCTAGGGCGCCACGCGCCATCCACTACAGTCCGTCATCGCCACGCGCTGGCCCGATCCCTACTATCGCAAGGTCACAAGTGAAGAGGATCAGCGGCCTTGGCATCTTCAGCGAGCCGGGCTCTCCCCACAGAACCTTCTCGCCCCTCATCAGATCGGCTTCTCCTGAGCTTGACCAAAGTCCTGCAGTGACCCGCACTGTCAGGCAGCGTCAAGCTCGAATGGAGGAGCTCCGCCTCGCTCACGCCACCACCCCCCAGATCTTGGTGGAAGCCGACGCTGCGGCTGAAGCCGGTCTGGGGATCTTCGTCCCTCCCGTCTACAACCCCCGTGGACGGCGCGGTCCGCCGGTAGCTACGCTACCAACCATCGACGAGCAGCCAGCAGTCACGGCTGACGATGCAGCGTCTTCGCCGGTGATGGAGAAGCACGAGAAGAGGAAGTCTTTGGCCACCAGCCTTGGCTTGCTCTTCGAGCCACCCATCACTAGTGGAGACCTGCAGTTCAGCCCGGCGGTCCGCGCCTCCCTGGCCCCGGCCACCCCCACACCCACCCCTGTCGGTGTCCAGATTGGACACGTCGCGTTCAACAATGAGACCGGCGAGTTGACGGCTCGTTACGACGGGGAGCATCCCAGAACGGAGGTCGTCGCCGTACACCCCGTCTTTCGTCGTGACGCTGTGGCTCTGGCTGAGTGTGCCCGGTGTCACAGAGAGGTCACGGAGGCGAGGCAGTGTGCGGCTCCTCTGTGTTGGGACGTGGTGTGTTTGGGGTGTGAGCCGGTGGTCGAGGGAGAGGAGGGAAGCGAGGTATTCTGTGAGTGGCACGGAGCGAGGTAGCTGTGAGGGGAAGGAGGGGAGGAGGAGTGAGGGGGAGGAGAGGGGGAGGGGGAGAGGAGGGGTGAAAGGGAGGGCGGAGAGGAATGGGGGGCTTCGGCTCCAGTCAATCTTGTACGCAGATTTCTCAAGACGCGAGATTTTGAGCTTTCTGAGTGTGGTGAAGAAGAACAGCGTGTTGGACGGCTATTGGTGACAATTCGAGGTGCACAGTATAGTGGTGGAAACACGGTGAATGTCTGTTCCCTAATGACAAGATTTGTTTGACATGAAGACGTGACAGCGTCCTGACAACGCCCACAGAAGGGGACCTAGAACTCCAAACCAGCTTGCGCAGGCTATGTTCCGTGAAACTTACCAGCAGCGTGTGATGTTCAAGGGCGCCCTCAGCTCTATGCGCTGTGGCTAGCGCGATTGGCTACGTAAGCGAGCCGCACAAAGACCGGCAACGTCCAACTCCACCTCGACATATTGCTGCCGACGACGACGACATCGAAAACCCCTCCACGACACACCGAGAACCGCCAACATGAGGACCTACGACGACACCTTCAGCGGCCAAAAGATCTACCCGGGCAAGGTGCGTTGACGCCCCAAGAACCTCACTTCAGTAGCCCACCCGATTGCGAGGACGAAGACATTGAAACCGGATGAGTCCAGTGGACCTGGGCTAACGCGAGATTGGGACACTGCAGGGCAAGCTCTATGTGCGCGGTGACAGCAAGATCTTCAGGTTCCAGAACGGCAAGACCGAGTCGCTCTTCCTCCAGCGCAAGAACCCGCGCAGAATCGCATGGACTACTCTCTACAGGAGACAACATAAGAAGGGTATCTCTGAGGTTAGTCACCTCACCCGACGGCGAACAAGCAAGCATGAATGGGTCGCTTGGGATCATCTGGCAAGAGCAGGAGATGGGGAATCTTCACAGGACTCGGAACAGGACACACTACTACGAAGGGAGGAAGCTGATGCTTCGGAACTCTACAGGAGATTGCGAAAAAGCGCACTCGCCGCACCGTGAAGCACCAGCGCGCTATCGTCGGAGCCTCCCTCGATGTAATCAAAGAGCGTCGTGCCCAGCGCCCCGAAGCCCGTTCCGCCGCTCGCCAAGCAGCCATTTCAGAGGGCAAGGAGAAGAAGGCCGCCGCAGAGAGCAAGAAGAAGATGGAGAAGGCGAAAAGCGCGGCCGCCGGCGCGAGGGGTCAGACAAGCAGGATCGTTGGCAAGCAGGGTGCGAAGGGTGCGCCGATGAAGGCGGCCGCCAAGAGCCGTTAAGACTTGATGGAAGAGGAGAGAGGAGTTTCTGCTGTCGATCTTCTGGTTTGTCATCGGCTTCTTTGAGTGTCTGGCATGGAATTGCTGGGTTCGGTGGAAAGATAGGGTTCAGCATTAGGCAATGCCAAACACGTCCTCAGCCATGCAGTTCTGAGGAAGAGGACGCTGCACGAGCTGTTGTGTAGGAGGATTGAGGAGCCACTACGAAGACTGTCGGCTTTGAGACGCAGTCACGGACCTGAGAGGTGTGACTACAGGGGAGCCTGAAAGATTCTATCTTCCTCCTCTGCATTCCCTTCCGTGTCTTCTCTCTCGTTCAGTCTCTTGAGCTTCAGTGAACCCTTGACTTGCCGTACCTGTCTACTAGAAATTTCTATCATCGCCGCAGCACCATCATACCTATGAGCATTCAAAATTCTTAGCAGTCTGTCGTGTACATGCCTCGATCTCGACCCTTCATCTTCATATTAGTTCCATGAGTGACGACCTTTCCACCATCGGCCGCACATCCCCTACTTCGACTGTCTCACCGCGCAGCCATTACTGCTCACGGCTGTTAGCTGCATCACCATCGTCGCTCTGTAAGGACTTACAATGCTGCTGCCACCTTTTGTTGTTGCCACTGCCACTCCGAGTTTGCCGCGTGCCACACCACGCCACGCCCTACACAGGACAATGCGCAGATTGCTCGTTCTGCTGCCTTCGAGCAGTCTTCATTCCCGGCCGCTCGCCTTGTTTCTGAGATCTATTGTGCGTGGATGCAGAGATACACAGCATCCATACGCCCATACCAGTTCAATCCCCGAAGTTCCCTGGAGTTCCCTCAGCTCCACCGCCACCTACACTGCGCAATCCATCGCTGGGACGAATATGAAGGGCACTCTGCTTCCGCTCCATCTCACCAACAACCCATGTTCCAGTGACCTCTGCTTCTTGTACGAACTTTGCGCACACCTTGGGCAATTATCGTCCTGGTTGTGGTTTGGGGTTTACTACATGAAACATCCACTCCAAGTGATGAGAGATGTTAGCACATCGACAAGTTAAGAAGGCAAAGCAAAGCCACCAATAAGTACGTTCATGAGTCTTCCAAGAGATGCTATTGATATGAATGATGATTCTCGCAGATGAGAGTAGTAAGGCACTGCCTTCGTACGAGCTAAATCAGAACGGCAGGGAGAAGTGACACTTGACGCAGCTTGGAGAATCTCGTCGGACCTCTTGTGTTTTGCGACGTGTGCAATCATTAACACTTGGAGGATCACTATCCCGCAGACCTCGTAGCGTGCCTGCGCTTTCTTGCGGAGCTTGCACCTCGTACGATGGTTCGCGATCAGAGCTAGACGAACCATCTCTAGACAAACTTCACATCCTGCTGCCATGGCCTCGTGGCAGTTCCCTTAGTCGTATCGAAGCTTCGCTGCGGTGAGAAGAGCCTTTGAGCACTCTTCGACGCGCATTATGCATGACACTCACCCTATAGAGGGTTCTACGATTCCTTGTTGTACGGGCCATCCCTTGAGTTACGGACGTGCTTCCCTGCAATAGTTCTGCTTCTGCTGCTTGCTGTCACTCGAAGCGTAAGACCCCCTCGCGGGATTGGTGTCGGTCCCATTGAGTCTGCTATTGGCTACCACCCAACACGAAAGGGCTCTCTTGAGCAACAATGCCGGTGCTCCATCGACGTCTATCTTGTGTTGTTCATGATGACATCAAACCCATGCGAAGGCATGAAGCTCAAGGTGGTCGAGGTGGAATTGAGGCATGACGCAAGAGGGGAAAAAGGGCCGTGAAAAGATGGCTTTGGTCTGACGGGGTCGGTCTGCGTTGTCGCTGTCTACCTCTTTCCTTCAAGCTCCTTCCAAGTACCGCCGACGACCCTTCCTTACTGATACTCTCGATGTATGCAGTGACTTCCAAAGTGGCATCTAAGACTGGGGGTGAGTCCCATTCAGAGTGCTACATCTGGCTTCCGGCACGGGTGCTATGTACCGACGCCGGAAACAACTGGTGCAACAGAGGCTAGGACATGGGAGTCGGCAAATGGGATCTGGTTGCGGACGTAAGGCATTTAGAATTGTAGAAGCTCTCCTTCATCGCCGCATGCTAAGTAGTCATGGATTGCACAGATATTGTATCGGGTGTCGACTGTTCGTAGCATCCTCACTAAGTGTCTTGGACTAAGCGGTAGCAGAGCGAATGCAAGCCCTGTAAGCTTCGTTTGTGGATTGCAAGAAGTACCAGTTCTGTGGTGGCAGTGGATTGAGCCACTAGATCTCGCGCAGATTGTGCGATGGACCAAATGTCAAAAGAGGATCATATACGGGTCTTCCCCACGCTTAAGTCACAACTGCCCGGCTGGCACAATTGGTTAGCGCGTAAGACTTTTAGGGCCACCTAGCTATCTTAAGGTTGAGAGTTCAAGCCTCTCGTCGGGCGACGTCTCTTTTCTCGCTCCTGTGTGTCTTTTGTGTCTTTTGTACGTCTCCTGCTACCTTTGGGACTTCTCCAAGTTTTGTTCCGGCCTTCGTGGCTGCGTGGTGGAGTTTTGCGCTGCTTCTGGGCCATTTTCGTTGCCGAGTCGCGGGGACTGTGTTCAGATGAAACTCGTAGTGCAGGTACGTACTTCGGATTGGGTGAAATCCGCAAAAGCCTCCACCCCGATTTGACACGAACAATTCTTACAACAATCTCTACATATACAATACCTCTACATACCCATTTAGAAGCTTGTGGAATACCTGATGAATCAGGAGCCGACTTTTTCTTCTCCCGACCTCAATCCTATCAAGAACTTTTCGCGGCTTCAAAGCAAAGGCTCATGGTGAATGGGCTTGAGTTGACTATTCTTTCGCGCAAAGCGACATTGCAACAGGAATGGGCATTATTAACGCAACATGAGATAAGAAGGTGTTTTCGTAGCGGGCCTAAGCGTGTAAGGGAGGCTCAAAGGCGTAACGAGTGTCTCACAAGCTTCTGTAGAGGTTGTTATAAGGTAATAATCGTCCATGTCAGATGGATAAAGTGGTCGGGGTGGAGATTTTTGCGGACTGACTTCGTGTGTCGTGTGCACGGTATGAGCTAGAGCTTCAGTGCTTCCAGTCTCTCGATTGATTGATTGGTTGATTCACCTCTACTGGCGCTGGTTTTGTCCTTTAAAAGGTACAGCAAAAGCACGATACAGCTTATGTTTCTCATCGAAGAACAAAATCGCTGCAACGCTACTAAACTATAGTAAATCGTCCAGCTTCTACGAGGTTATCGTGACAATTGTTGCCCGTCCCAATCCGCTCCATGACACCCGCTCCATTGTATGCTTCCCAAACGCCAATGCTGATATTCCCTTACACATATCCTACGCTCTGATCACCTTTGGTCCTGTCTCTTGCCGACTGAGCGCCCACATGAAGACGAGCTGTACTATGTACGAATAGATGAAGAGGAACTGGGTCCTCCTCGTTCGTTGTGACCGCGCCACGGTATGCATTGCGCCGCCAGCGCTGTGGGGGGAATCCTCGGGGAGAAGGACGTATTTGAGGGATCGAAGCTGTGACACACTGGGTCAGTCTTGGACATGGTGTCCGGCCAGATGAGTGTCACGTACCAAGAAGAACGCATTCGCCAAGAACGTGTATGCAAATACCGTCCATCCAACCCAGCCACCCGCGCCTCCTCCTCTGTTGACTACCTCGCTGACAACCAACGTGACGATGACCCCAATGAATTTGTAGCCGGAGTATGCGATGAGGTCGAGAAGCTGACTCTCGTTGCTTATGGACAACAGGTAGCAACCGAGCTTGAGCGCTAGAATCTCGACAAAGACCACCACGAACGCGGCTGTAGCTGTCACACCAAGCAGCTCGGGGCGAAATGCACCTCGTAGGCCGGCTATTAGGGTCGAGACAAGAATGTAGGTCACGAACGCCATTACTATAGATGAGATGTCAGCTTCTGCTCCCAGACACTAGACTGTTGTTTGCTGAGCTCATACCAGGGATATACATATCTGGGCTGTTGATATCTTCCCGGGGTGGCAGAAAATAGCCATCTTGTCCATTAGATGACATTCTCTGCTGTCTCGACCACGGCCTGTGTCTCCAAGGAAACAGGACAAGGTACATCTTGTTGACGACGTAGGAGTTGGATACGTTGAAGTAGTGTTTCAGGACAGACATGCTGACGTAGCGATTGAGCTGCGAATGCACAGTAATGTCAGCTTCCTAACCTTCAAGGGTAACACAAGGGTATCAAAAAAACGATTCGGCTCTTGGCTTACGTTCTGCTCCACATACTCCTGTCCAGCCATGACAGCACTCTTGCCGACCTGGAACCCCATCTGTGCCGTCGAATCATTCATGAACCCTCCAAACGCCGGCTGCATGTATCCCCCTCCCGCTCCTTGCTGTTGCTGAGGGTAGCCATAGCCAGATTGCTGAGGCTGTGGAGCAGGAGGTGGAGGTGATCGTAGTTGGGGGACTGTCGAGACGTGTTGCGGTACTGGATGGTGAAGCGGTGGGGAGTGTGCGGGTGGGATGTTTGAGTAGTGTGGTCTTTGCATTATGTGTATAGGTGGAGTTCACTGCGATTGAAGAGACTGATGGAGGTAAGCAGATGCTGCACTGTTCAGACACATACAACCAGTTCGGGTTGCTTTCTTGATGCAACTTTGGCTTCTTCGGACCCTGAAAAACACGTCGTTCACCGCGCTGGCAGAATGACACCGGGGCTGTTTCCCACCTCAAGCCGCCCCGCGCCCTCACGTTGTACACACATTCCTTGCATCTCGCAATACGCTGTAGACATGTTGGACACCTTCGAGATACTGACGACCTCTGGAGTGGTGCTCTGGTCCAAGACGTATGCTCCGATCGGCGCCAACATCATCAACAGCCTGATCAACGACGTCTTCATCGAGGAGCGCATTTCTCCCACTGCAAGTACAGGCGCTGATGTCTCCGCCTCGCGCAATCCTCCATACAAGAAAGAAAAGTACACATTGAAGTGGACTACGGCCAAAGATCTGGGCTTGATCTTTGTGGTATGCGCGCAAGAGCACTCCTGGGCTACAAACTAGGGCAATCACTAATTATCTCACAGGCGGTCTACCAGTCACTGCTCCATCTGTCATGGATCGACAAACTCCTCGATAACGTCCGAGTTCTGTTCACTGGTCTTTACGGGGAGCAGCTGAAGAAGCCTCACACGAGTGGCATCGAATGCCATTTCGACGACTACTTTGACCGGCAGATGCAGGAGCTGGAGAAGACAAGTGGGATAGCGACTGCGACAAGCTCTGAGCCGACTTCCGCAGCGGAGCTCACACCTCCTTCAAGTTCTGCTGGCACTGAGCCTAGCATTGATGAGCCGCCACCAATACCAGGATTGCGCAAGGGTGAGCACTTCGCCGAAACTGCTAGCACGGCCCTATGTTAAGACTCGAACGTTACAGGTCCGCAGAAGTCCATCTACAGCGATACCGTATCGGCCGATATCACACCCGTACCCACCCCCGATACATCTAGACCGGCCTCACCCGCCGTGAGCCATCTTCTTACCGCTAAGGGAGGACCGGGCGGCCGTGGTTCACGGAGAGCCCGCAAATCTGCTGGACCGTCTGCACCGGTATCTTCAGGAGACGAATCGCCCGCTAGGCGGCCAAAGGGACCTTCCAAGGCAGCCTCTAAGCAGAAGCGTATATGGACAGACAATGGACCAGAGGATGACGGCGATGGAGAGATTCTGGATTACTCTGCGCCCACGACTTCTGGGATAGATGGCGTTATCGAAGAGGATGCAAGGCCTGGTGCTGTAGAAGCTGTAAGCCAGGAATCGTGGGGAAGGAAGACAGGGAAAGGGGAGTTTGTGTTGAAGGATCTGGACGAGGAGATGGACTCAATACTGGCATCAGCGAACGCGAAGAACCCACAAGCCGAGTCTTCGAGCGGCATTGTCGGGTCAAGTCTGGGCGCGATAGGAGGCCTCTTTAGGAACGTGATAGGTGGCAAGACGCTCACGAAGGAGGATCTTGCCAAACCACTGAAGGGGATGGAAGATCACCTTTTGAAGAAAAATGTTGCACGAGAAGCTGCGGTGAGGTTATGCGAGAGTGTGGAACGAGATCTGATCGGTCTCAAGACCGAGAACTTCACAAGTATGTGCACGGCTATTGTGTGCCATGCTATCTCTTGCTGACGAGCGCAGGCGTTGAGAACACAATCCGAACAGCCATGGAGTCTGCGCTTCGCAAGATCCTAACCCCCACGACATCCCTCGATCTTCTTCGCGAAATTCAAGCCGTCAGCGCTCCCTCCTCCTCTTCCCTTAGCAAGCCCCGTCCGTACGTCATGTCGATTGTTGGTGTCAACGGAGTCGGCAAATCTACGAACCTTTCGAAAATCTGCTTCTTCCTCCTCCAAAATAAGTTCAAAGTCCTCATCGTTGCTTGCGATACCTTCCGTTCTGGCGCCGTCGAGCAACTGCGTGTCCACGCGCGCAACCTGAAGGAGCTTGGAGAACGCGAGGGTGGGCAGGTTGAGCTGTACGAGCGGGGGTACGGTAAAGACGCGGCAAACATCGCAAAGGACGCGGTGGAGTTTGCGACCGTGCAGAAGTTCGACGTCGTCTTGATTGACACAGCCGGGCGCCGCCACAACGACGCTCGTTTGATGTCGTCGCTCGAGAAATTCGCCAAACTCGCGCAGCCCGACAAGATTCTCATGGTCGGGGAAGCGCTCGTCGGTACGGACTCGGTGTCGCAAGCCAGAAACTTCAACGCTGCGTTTGGCGCGCAGAGAAAGCTCGATGGCTTCATAATCAGCAAGTGCGATACGGTCGGAGACATGGTGGGCACGTTAGTCAGTATGGTTCATGCGACGGGCATTCCGGTGCTTTTCTTAGGTACGGGCCAGCACTACAGCGACCTGAGGACGCTGAATATCAAGTGGGCTGTCGGCCTGCTCATGAGCTGATCTAGCAGAATTCCGAGCTTGTATAGTCTTGGAGAACACGAATGCAAGTGCAGCTACAGAACTGCGCAGCACTCGGAATGCTCCCAATCGAAGCAATACCGATCTGCATTCATGGAATTCTATAACACAACCACTGAAAGAAACTAGCCGCTGTGTGCAATTAATGAAATGCGCGCCTACAACGAAGAGACACCTGCGAGCGCCAGCGAGGAGTCCTCTCCGCAGCCGACTGTGGTAGGTTACGTTTCAGGTGTCCCTCTCTTTTCCTGGAAGCAAAACAACGTCCGAACATTACAACTCCTCATCAGTCTGCTTTGAAGATGACTCTCCTGGAATGAAAACCCACCACCTCCAAACACGCCAGTGCCGTCATGTACTTCGCAGCTTATCCACACCCTCACTTCTCATACTTCATGTTTTGCCCGCTCCGCCTACTACACGACTAGGGCGGTTGAGTTTGCGTGATGAAAT